CCCTGAGCTGTTGGTTTTAAGTAATTGATCAATTTAGTTGGATAGCACAGTATTAATGTCTGAAAATAAGCTGCTTTAACCCAGCATCAACCATAAACTAAATAATATTTCTGTATTTATTTCAGATCTAGTCAGTCGTACAGTTAGTTATTATCCATGTTTAAAAGAGGATGTGTTAAAACACTGTTTAGTCAAAGTTAAACGAAACGTCAAAGTTCATTACAAGTGGCCCTTCGAGGGCCACCATAACGCTCATGTGGCCCTCAATGAAAATGAGTTTGACACCCCTGGATTAAAACATTAGCATTAACTGTTGGAGTCAACCATGTCTGTCTGTTAGCAAAATGTCTCTTGAAGCACTAAGCTGATTTGAATAAACCTTTCAGAAAATAATCACTGACCTCATCTATTGAACATGTTTTGGAGTCAGCCCAGTTCAAGATGATCAAAATTAACCTTAACCCAAACAAAATTAGACATTAGTCAAATTTACAGATATTGAGGTCTAGTTTGGAGTAGTAGCAGCTGAGAGTTGTTTTTAAAAGCAAACTGAGTGTCATCTCACAAAATCACGAGTTCATTAAAACATCAAAATGGTTACATTCTGATTCCTTCTCATCATGAGATTAACTTTGTTGAACACACTGTAATGGTACTAGCTACGTTTACATGGACATAAGTAATCGGATTAAACAGCTGTTCAGAATAAAAATGCGTCATATAAACAGCCCGTTCGGATTATTCTGATCCGATTGAGCTCGATCCAAATGAAATTTTAATCCGAATGAGAGGGGTGGGTTATGCCGATTGACAATTGAAATGACGTTCATGTAAACACTTAATTGGATCATCTTATTCTGATTGTAGAAAACTGACTTGAGTGCGCAGGTCTTCAGACTTTCATTCACCTGGTTCTGCTCTTAGAGGAGGCAGGACAGCAGCGCTCCAGCTGCACTGCGCCGCACAGAACTTTTCCTCCTCGCTCTCTTAACATAAAAAGGAGACAAACAGCAGATGTTGCTTCGCAAAAAAACAAACAAAAACAAAACACGTATTGCTTCATCTGCAGCTCAACCAAGGAGACGAGTAACAACGTCTCTACCGTTATTAAAAGCTGACACGGTCCGTCGTGAGCTCACAGAGGAGCTTTGTTTACGTTTGTAATACGGAAGTAGAGCTGAAAGTTTACAACACTGCGCATGTCCGGACTTTTGTTCTGAATAAAAGTCCGGTGCATGTAAACACTTTTCATGATTGGATTGTGTCCACGTAAACAGTACATTCGGATTATTTAATCAGAATACATTTCAATCCGATCAAAAAATTTTGTGCATGTAAACATAGCTGGTGCTAATGCTGCACCTTTATTTTTTTATTTTATTTTCTGAATTCTTATAAWTATGTGCCGTAGGGAATCAAATCCACTCCTCTGAGTGTCTGGAGAGCTCTCT